GTTTGTTCGGTCAGAATGCAACGTTTTTTTTGTCCAATAAAAAAGAATGCAATGGTTTTACACAGATAAAATGCAACTTCCATGGACAACGAAAACAGCATGTATCAAAATGCAACTCCTTGTGAAGGTTAGCTTGAAGTGGGGTCCTCTAAGTTCTACATGGGTGAGAGGATTGGGGTAAAGTGGGGATTGAACTCTTTCAAACCGAAGGGGTCGATGGGTTCCGGATAGATAAGTAAAATTGAGGTGAAGTGGGGAGTGAACTCATCATCACCACCGCCAACTACAAATTATAAGGTACTCCCTCCATAAAGAAATAAGAGCGTTTAGATCACTAATTATGTGATATAAACACTCTTATATTTTTTTTACATGGGAAATAGTAGAGGTACTTGAGTTACAAAGTTTAGAAACTCAATGGGAAAAAACGTAGTTTGGAACTTGTAATATTTTTTCAAATGTTCCACATGTAGGTGTGAAAGGCGCTTGAAGCCAAAGGCCTTGGCTGAAGACACGAACAAAGGGAATGTCAGATGCAGTCCATGGAATATACATATGTGCCTACCTTCCTACTACTCCCCCTGTTTCGAAATAATTGAAGTTCTAAGTTTGTTCTAAATCAAACTTGATTAAGTTTGATTAAATCTATGGAAAAATATGCTAAAATATAACACCGAATAAACATAATACGACTATAGATATATTTCATAAAAAATCTCAAGAGACTAATTCCATGTTTTAGATGTTAATATGTTTTCATAGACTTGGTCAAACTTCAACAACTTTGACTTGGGACAAATCTAGGACTTCAGTTATTTTGAAATGGATGAACCAGTAGCTAGCTAAATGCGGGTATCTACTAAAAGAACTAATAAAATGGTGTACCATGTTGTAACAGGTTAGAGCAACTCTAACAGAATCGTCATATGTGTCATCGCTATATGAGATATAGAGTGCGCTTCAATAATAATACGGAGCCTGCCAAAGGCGGTACGCAGTTCAGATGTTAATATATCTGCTAGTAACACACACACACAGACACACACACACATGCACCCAGGAGCACGCACATGTGACACATATGTCTGGCTCGAGGCATCTCAACGCGCCAACGGCCACCCAAGCTGACGAATAATGAGAAAAAAAAATCTTCCTCGCCTGAATCAACAATAATTAAATATTTGAACTTGATTTAAATTTTTAAATTACATTAAGCTTTAGGTGGCGCACCCAAAGATTTCATTGGATGCTCCACCTAATGCTTAGTGTAATTATAACTGAAGCTTCACCCAGACCCCGCTCGTCTCTGAGAGTGGCTGTGAGCAGAGGGGGAAATGGAGGTCGTGGACGGCTAGGAGGAAGTGGAGGTTGTGGGCTATGGACGGTGCGGTTATAAGCTCATGGGCTAGATTTGAAACAATCTTCATAAAAATACATTGATCCAAGTCTATATGATGACTCTGTTAAAGCGGCATTTTTAACCAAAATAGTAATATCATGTTTATTTGATGAAACGGTGTTTGATCTTTTCATATCCGACCGACGTATAGTGAACACGCACAAGTTTTAAATGCACAAATTACATGTTGACAAGATACGATAGTAGGTGGCCCTAGCATCCTCTTATAGACTTAATCAAATTTAAACAACTTTGACTTGGGACAAATTCAAGACTTTAGTTATTTTGAAACGGATGACTATGAGAGTGGTTGTGGGCGGAGGGGGGGAGTGGAGGTTGTGGGCAACGGAAGGAAGTGGAGGTCGTGGGCTATGGACGGTTGGGTTACAAGCTCACGGGCTAGATTTGATGCAACCTTCATAAATTATATCGATCCAAGTTTTTAACCAAATCTATAATGTCGATGCTTATTATGCCGAGCGAGCATACAGGGACTTTGCTAGAGAGTTCATCTTACCTGGCCTGCGAAACAGTGGTTGATCTTTCCGGATCCGACCGACGTACAGTGAACACGCACAAATTGTAAATGCTCAAATTACGTGTTCAGAAAGACACGCTAGTAGGTGGCCCTAGCATACATCGTCGTCATGCTTTGGCCGCTCTACGATAAAAATGTGCTCCTATATAGCTACTGTTATGAAGCATGGTGCCGTTAACCATACTCTGAGCGTTGCTAGACAGACGATGCCTGCACGGCCGATGCATGAACGATTCATACGTGGCAGCACCAGTAGCTACCGATTCTCAATAAAAAAAGCACCAGCAGCTACCGTGCGTGGTGGAGCCCTGTTGGGGAGGGAGAATCGTGCAAGCGTCGTGCACTAACCGTCGTGTGTAAAGCAATTTTACTCGTTGTCGCCTTCACCGCAAGGCAGGGACGCAACAGGACCTCGATGGCAGTGGCTCCTTGTGGAATCCACCGACGCGTACGTGTTACTTCGCCCTCGCTTCGCGCGCGTCCCTCTGCAAACGTAGCGTCCCAACGCTGCCAAACGCAGTCTAAACAAAAAAAAGCACGTACTACTAGTAGTACGTGTCAGCAGCACCGCTGTAAGTGGGTTGTACCGCTATCAAGGCTCCGAGAGTAGCCCGTACTGTACGTGCGTAGGCGTGACGGCGACGGCCGGCCTATCGAGCTTAGCCGCCGGCCGGTGCGCGCGCGGCGGTGGTACTCAGCTCGTACAGTAGGTCACTCATTAAAATCCTCCCGTCGTGTTTCGATCGCCCCCGGCCGGCCGGCCGTCGCTCCAACTGCCCACGGCATTTTGTCCACCGACGGCCACGTGCACGCACGCATGTCCCCGGGCCTGATATGGCGCGCGCTTGGTCGGTGTGGCCATGCAGCGCCGAGTCCGCCGGCCCACTGAATAGTAGACTGGTATCCGTTTCTCCATCGATGCGTGCATGCGCATGAGTACCGAGGCCAACCCCAACGCGCGAACCTCAAACGATTCAGCCGCGTTCGTTTAGCGGCAAACGGAGAGAACAAGTCATCCAACGTGCGGTCACAAACGGACCATCGTTTGTTTTTTATCCGTTTTTATCATTTCCGGCTTAAAGTTGAATCATGTTTGCGGTCAAACGGACATGTGTGGACGGGACTTAGTCCCCCTGCCTGTCAGTCGGGGACACAACCATTTTTCTCTTCCCCGTCTCTTTCCTCTGCCCTTCGGTCGTCACCGCCATCCCCGTTCCCGACCACGTCGCGTTCCATCAAGGCCACCCCCACAACCATGCCATGTCATAGCCGTCCCACACCCGCGTTTCAGTTGAGTTTTTTGCCAGCGTTCGTGGTTCCTTGTTGGCTGTGGGAGAGAGGCTACAGTCGCAGGCGCCGACCCTTGACCTCAACAACTTCCGGCAGGCGCTCCACTGCCCCAGGCCGCCACCCCACCGACACCAGCCTTGCTTCGTTGCATCGACTCGCTCTCTTTCCAGCCGCGTCTCCAGCACGACTGTAAGGTGTTCGACGCGTTGCTCCCAAGGTATCATGGATAGCGGGGATGAATTTTTCTTTCACAATTTCATTTGTTCATCGGATGATGAAGACATTGTGGCGGCTGCATTGGTCGTCCATGACCAGGAAGCGCCCTCGATTCAAGGGATCAATCCCTGGCCATGTTCCGGCCTTGAACCGCAATATGAAGAGAGGCCACACCTTTCTCTATGCCGATTACTTTGAGAATAGCGCACTCTTCAAACCACACAAATTTCGCCGTCGCTTTTGTATGGCGAGACATGTGTTAAACCATATTCGGGAGGGAGTGGTAGCAATGGCCCTTATTGTGAGTGCAAAGAGGATGCCGTTGGCAAGCTTGGCTTCTCTTCTTACCAAAAAATGCATTGCGGCTATCCGCATGCTTGCGTATGTAATTCCTGGTGATCTTGTGGATGAGTATGTTCGTATGAGTGAGTCCACGTGCTGTCAATGTATAGTTTCTGCAAAGCCATAGTGGTAGTGTTCGGCCCTGAGTATCTGAGAGAGCCAACTGCGGTTGATACATAGAGGTTGTTGACGATCAATACTAAGAGGGGCTTTTCGGGCATGCTTGGTAGTATTGATTGTATGCACTAAAAGTGAAAGAACTATCCATTTGCTTGGCAGGGGCAGTACAAGGGGCATGTGAAAGGTGCTACTGTCGTACTTGAAGTGGTGGCTTCACAGGATCTGTGGATATGACATTTTTTCTTCGACATGGTTGGTCTCACAATGATATCAGTGTTCTTCAGCGATCTCTAGTGTTTGCAAGGCTTGCAGAAGGCCACTTCCAGAAGGTCAACTTTGAGGTCAATGACCACCAATACAACAAGGGATATTACCTTGCTGATGATATCTATCCACAATGGCCCACTCTTGTCAAGACCATATACCCAATCCGCAAGGAGAAAAGAGAAAGAAGTTTGCCCAAATGCAGGAGAGTGCTAGGAAGGATGTGGAGCGTGCTTTCGGCATGCTTCAGTCTCGATGGGGTATCGTTCGAAACCTTGGATTGACATGGAGCACTTATAAGATTTGGAAGGTGACGACTGATTGTGTGATCATGCATAATATGATCGTGGAGGATGACCGTGATGAAAGCATCTATGACCAAGGGT